CAGTATTCTCCTTTTAGGGCTGTCCCCTGATATTTACCTCCATAGTCAAGAAAAAATTGCACTACAAACACAAATGTACACAAATAGACACACACAACCCCTTCATACTCTTTGGAAAGCAGGTGGACTAAAGTGCCTATAGATATGAGCTGGATCCATAACTGGTATCAGTCCATGTGGCTCCAGTCATGTAGGAACTGGTCCTGTAGAAATTGCAAACCACCTCAGGAGCATGGATATCCATTCATTTTAACATCAGCTGGGCACTCATCATCCTTGGTTAACTTTTCAAATGTAAGATTTGACATCTGAACTTTAATCCCACCCTTTGGGAAAACAAATAGAAAAGTCATTAGTACCTAGATAAAGAAGGAGTCTGTGCATAACTTTGTATTATTATTCAATCCTTTGAAAAGATGTAGCTTCTATTAATCCACTGTTTACTTTGTCTGTGTTTCTGACATGTTCAGACCACAGAAGATGGTGGTATATAAGCATTATTATTGACAGTTTTATGCTGCATGATTTACTCTCATGACAATACTGTAAATCTTAATACGGATTTTTACAGTTATTTAAGAAAAATCAGTTGGAGTCAGGCACTCAAATGCCTTTTAAAATGTGACCACAAAGTGACAAGGAAAATATAAACCTGCAAATATAAGGACAGATCTCACGTGTCTCGGTTTTCATTAACTCATCTTTTCTCTGCAGAACACTGCAGTCTTTTGGGGAAGGTGATTTATACAAGCTTAGTGATAACTTTGTTATGTTCTTATTGTGGTATAAGTCAGAGTCGAAATAACACCACCAAAATCAATGAGAGCAACATCATTTATGCTAGCTAATGATGTGAGATCTTCTGTGCTGATCAGTGGAGATTAAATAATGCAGTTACAGAAGCGTCAAGGAGTCAATGTGGAAACATTTTGCATGAAGTTATAGTGCTTATGTTAATAAATCAAGAAGGGGAGTTGCTGAAGATATCTGGAACCTAATGGTGGATACACGTGGGGATCAAGAATCCTCGGTCAAATAAATGAAAAGGTATAAATTAATGAGTTCTGCTAATTGGGTTTATTATTCAATAATAATAAAACCACAATTCCAAAAGGAATTGCTCAAAATTAATTTTATTCTGGTTTCCTGTGGAAACAGTGCAGAGAGAGATCTCAGCACCATTATGTGTATTTGCTTGTTTCTCTCCCAATATCTTCCCAATCCACTGGCCAGTTCCACTCAGTTCTGACACAGGAACAACAGGCTCAGATATAATTATTTTTTACAATTCTTGTGAAAATGGGCAGCTGTGGAGAGGACAAAAACTGTGTAAATGTTGCAACTGGAGGATAGAGGGAAACAAGAGTCTAGACGTTATATGAGAGAATGTACATGAGATTGAGGCCATGGGAAAAGATTTAATACATGTTCATACATTCAAAAAATCAAATGTGAGACTTACAGTCTTTGGAAACATATTCTTACTAGTTTGGGGGTCAATCAGGAAAGGAGCCAAAGTATTTGTTTGATGTTAGCCAAAAATTGTGGGGGGTTATTGGTTTGTGGCTTTGTTTTCCTTTGCTCAGGCCAAAAGGAGAGAAAAACAAATTTTGATTTGGTTCGAACAAGACTTTGAAAACAAAATGTTTCACCTGAGCTGTTTTTTTTTTTAATCCTGTTTTGGAGATTAAGCTGAACTAAATTTCAAATCTTAATGAAATGATACAGAAATGAAAGCTTTAACAAATCCAAAAGATTTTTTCTGTTTATTTCAGCTCAATAAACAGGAGTGATCACAACTTATGAATGGGCTATCATTTTGTAACTGTGTTTCTTGTCTAATAAATTCTTAGTCCACAGAATTTTACTGGGTTTGATAGTGCATCAGCTGCTCTGTTGACTGCCTAGAGATCATCAATATCTCATGCATATGAAGTCTGAAATAAAATTAACTGAGGGTCAAAAGTTTCAAATACTTTAGTAGAGTTAATTAAAAGGCTGGAGAATAGTGAGACCAAAATGACATCAGTGATACCAACTAACATAGGTAATTAATGTCATGCTTCAGGGAATATGCTGAATGCCTGCTTGGTCAGAAAGAATTTTTCCCAGACTTCTGTGTGTAGCACTATGGAAATTACCATGAGCAGTTACTTGTGATTTATTGATGTGATGTTACCATCTGCCTCTCTCTAGCTAATTGTGTATTCCACAGCTGAGCTCTCACTGCACAGCCGTTAGAAGATGCCTTTACTGATACATTGAGCCTGACCAAAAACTCCTATTGAATTTGGCAAAATTCAGAGCTGATGTGTGTAGTGATGTGACTTACAGACTGAAGCACTAATGGCAGAAATAGAGGGGATGAAGTAGCTGATAAAAGCATATCTTTAAAGTAATATACCTTTTTTCTAAATGTCTGTGGTGCTCCTTCCCTTCAGACAAAATGAAGCAAGACTGTGACATTAACTTCTATCTTATATTTTCTTTGAATTGCTCAGCAGGTGGTTTATGCTGCCTAAGATATGCTTACTTTCTTATGTCGTCTTTGGATACAACCTTAGGCTGTGGCTGTGCCTCTGAAAGATCATCTGTAGTCAAATGACCTGCCTCCTCTTGTCTTCTTTCCACACGGCTGCTTCTTAAACTGCTTGCAGACTGCTGGTGTGGATGTGCCTTATGGCACGTTAACTTTCTGGACACGCTCAGGTACGGGAGGTCCTGCATGTTGTGGTCAAAGCTAAGCCTCAGCAGAAAGTCACAGACATAACTGTGAGTTCCCAACAGCACCTAAGATACTGTGATTCCAAGTCACAGGTATAAATCTGCATCCCACGAATGAATTCTACCATTGATTTTTAAAATAATAACAACATATAGAATCTTGTAAATGTTCTCACTATGATTTTAAAATATCCTTTTCTATTTCCTTTCCAGCCCTGGTGTCGATGTATTACCACTGTCTACAATTATTTTGTGGTGACCAACTTCTTCTGGATGTTTGTGGAAGGCTGCTACTTACACACCGCTATAGTGATGACTTACTCCACAGATAAGCTGCGGAAATGGGTCTTTCTCTTCATAGGATGGTGTAAGTGACTTGTGTGTTTAAGATGGTGATACCTGGCATTAAAGTGATAATGACAACAGAAGCAAGAATAAACCTTAAAAATCCCACTGTGTTGAAATCTGACATTCAAACCTAACTTCATCAGAGCAACATGAGATCCAGTTTAGTTCTTCACTGTGGTGATGACATAAAACTAATAGATTATTGCTGGATTTATTTTCTTCATTTAGATCCTCAGGTACCTGGTGCTAAGGAAAGAAAAATAATTCCCAGGCTCAGCATTTTGGGAATGCAGCAGTTCATACCGTGTCCCTTTCACTTCGATTGGCAGAACGGTGATCACAACCCCTTATACACTGCTGTGCAACTCGGCATGAAAGAGGAAAGGCACTGTCCATGCACTGTGGACCACTCGAGACATTTCTAAGTGAGGAGCTGACTAGAAGAGAAGCCTAATTATCTGCCAGTCCAAACTTACAGCTGTCTTTTGGACTGCTGAGGGATTTGTTCCTAGCAAACAGCCTTTAATGAAGTCACATGCCGTCTTTGTACTATCCCTGTGGCTACTCAAAGACAGAAAAATAGCTCATTGCATGCCCTGTTACCTCACTTCTACTGTGTCAGCCTGGGCCAGAGCAAAGACTGCTCTTTTTCCCTTCCTGCATCAACATAAGCTGGTCCATAAGATGTGGAAAAACTGGAGATTATCCGGTAGAAGGCTGTCAATATGATCAGGGATCTAGAGGACGTGTGAAGTGAGACTGAAGGAGCTGAGCTTGTTTAATCTGGCAAAGAGGAAGCTAAGGAGGGATCTGTTAGGTACCAAGAATGATTTGAAAGATAATTACAAAGATGATGGAGCCAAATTCTTCTTGGTAATAGCAGAAGTTATAAGAAGGGGCAATGGCCACAAATTGCAGACTGGCAGGTTCCAGCTGGACATTAAGAAAACAGAAAATTTACCAAAAGGTAATGCAACACTGGAACGGATGACTTAGAAACTCTGGATTCTCTGACCTTGGAGGTATTGAAAGTCCAGCAAGGCTAAGCCCTGGCTGAGGTGGGCTAGTGTTGATAGTTCTGCTTTGAGCAGGAGGTTGGAGTGGATACCTTCAGAGGTCCTTTCCAACCAACATATCCGTGAATTGAACTTCGCCAGCAGAGCTTTGGCAAGACAAGCCCCATGCTGGCAGCTCATTCATGTGAATGCCAAATCTGAGGTCAAACAGAACCAGTGAATTTGGCAGTTCTTTTCTATCGAAAGAAGAAAGGTGGAAAAAAGTAGCAAATATTTTCCTTTCTGAAAGTAGAATGACATTTTGTTCAGAAATGCCTTCTCTTCTCAGAATTGAGCAGAGGTAATTGAATTGCAGTTCTGAACACAGAAACAGCCTTTAAAACAAAATGTATCATTCAATCCAACATCAAATGGGAGGAAAGAGGAATTATAGTAGAAATAAAATGTTTATGTGGGGAATTGATTCAATTTTTTTTTTTCCAATATTTTTCAATTGTTTCACGAAACTGGAAAATCAGCTTCTCACACAGCTCTCACAGACCCCCTGACTGATTTGGTCCATATTACTTTCCCTTCCTCCCTCTCTCAGAGCCCTCTGGGTGTCTGATTACTAATGTAGGAGTTGTGTGACCTGAATATACCTTTCCTCTCACCCTTTTGGGTGCTTTCTGGCTCTGCTTTGCCTTCCCATACACAATCTTTTACCATCCTCATTCTCAAATCCGTGTTCTTCACTTCACAAGGAAAAGTAAAATGTTTTCCTCTATGAGAAAGGACATGGCTACATTTTGTCTATCCATGCCTGGCAAGAACACGGGGGAAACAAATGCACCAGATCCTGTGAGTCAGTGGTGAACAAGATGGAAGACAACACAATCACTTGCAGGACACAAAAGCCTCTGGGGTGGTGGGGCAGGAGATCAGAGCTGCAGTATACTTCTTGCTGAGGTTAAGGATGACCACTTAGCATTTCAGTCCTATCCCTACTGTGTTGTGGTTCTCTTTCCATGCTGCTTCATCTCTAAAGCCTCCGTTTCCCACAGAAGAGGCAACAAATGGGAAGTTAAAAGGCAGTGTTAGATACAAGGCCATGCTGGCTCCTACATGAGGGTTTAAGTCGTGTTGCTTCTAGTGGGAAAGAAGCAGATACTAGTGAGGGTCACTAAACTTGGGCCTGTGCCCATGCATTCACTTTAGAGTAGCAGTGATTGCAGAGGGACATGAACCTGGAGGTTGGACTGAGGGATGGAGCTGGAGAGGCTTGTCTTCTTGTTTGCTTCTGCCTGAGATGAAAAGTTAAAGGTAAAGGGGAAATGAAGAGGGGAAACTTTCCTCCTCCAATTTTGACATCAATCCAGTCTGCCTGGGGAATGCCTGGGTGAAGTTCCTGTTTTCCCCAGGAGGTCTGTGTCAAAAGGCCAGCTGCACTTACTCTTCTTCACTTCCAGTTTCCTCCTCCAGCAAATCCCCCTCAAACCAGCTGGACGCTGAAGGGCTAACACAAAAAAAGTACAAGAGCAAGGCTCTGGATCCAGTCTTTGCCTGGGGAATGCCTGGGTGAAGAAGTTCCTGTTTTCCCCAGGAGGTCTGTGTCAAAAGGCCAGCTGCACTTACTCTTCTTCACTTCCAGTTTCCTCCTCCAGCAAATCCCCCTCAAACCAGCTGGACGCTGAAGGGCTAACACAAAAAAAGTACAAGAGCAAGGCTCTGGATGTGAGACTGGTATAACAATAGAACTGGCAAGCAGAAGATGTGGCACTGCTGGGACATTAAGTGGACAAATACACCTTGAACACCCAAGGAGCACTACTGTAGCACCTTCTGGATAAGACTGAGAAAGCAAACCCTATAAAACAAATGCGTGGCCTCGATAAGAACTCATATGTACACACAGACCACATTGCACATTGTAGGGAGCAGAATTATTTATATAAAGTTAACTGTATTGTTTAGAAAGGGCAAAAAATGAGCGAATTCTGATATTGCAAGATATCAAGAGATTCTTTCTCATAAATATGTTTCATAGGGAAGACTCAACTCAAAAAATTGTTGAAAATTTTGAAAACGTGCCTCATCCAAAGATCCCAATAAGCTTACAAGCTTCTTGCAACCTAGGAAATAAAAATATAAATAGCTGCCTCCAAGTACTGTCTTTAAGATTTTGCCGTATCAACTGCAGGAAAATGAAAAGGGACCAAAATTGCCTTTAAGTCAGCCAAAATTGTTCTGATCATTTATATAGAAATATAGGTATATATGTGTATTTGTTAATAATTTTATTAACCTTTCTTACTGGTACTAGAGTTTTGTCTTGTTGATATTATATTTTTATTTATATGCAAAGAGGTCTTAGCAATTGTGATGTCTCAAGGATACCAAGTTAGGACCACTTGTATTTAGACTCTTTCAGTTCATTAACCGAGATGCTCCTCACACAAATCTGAATCTACTTTGGTGCCATACATACGTACATGGGTTGTGATTAACTCGTGATTTCTTGCTCCTGCAGGTATTCCTTGCCCAATCATCATTGCCTGGGCCATTGGCAAGCTATATTATGAAAATGAACAGTAAGTGATGTTAACATTTGTGTTTATGTGGCTCTCTAAGTGAATTAAGAAATGCCTATGGGCTGAACTGGTAATTTAGAAATGAGACTGATTGATAGGAAAGAGGAAAGAAGAAATCACCTCCATTCAAACCCAGACCATCTCAAATTTCAGAGCACTACTTGAGTCAGCTCCTCAAAATACCCTTCCCAAATATCCTTGTCCAAGCCATGAAGCTCTCATTTGGTAGCTTTATACATGATTTACAGTCAGGCTAATCTCCTTAAATGGGAGGTTTGCTTGAGTAAGACCTTGGTAAAAACTGCAGTTGAGTGCTTAAGGATTTAGCCTTCTGGATGTGTAGAATTGAGTTAACAGTCTGCCAAGAATAACCTTATGGCTGGAATTTTTGCATTTCTCTTTCTGGGTTTTCCAATTGGAAGCAGTTAGTGCATGAAATTGAAAAATATAGGAGATAAAGAGGCACCTGTGTTTGGGAATTTTTCCCCAGACATCGATACTGGTCAGATATAGTTCAGCTTGTATTTTTCAGCTAGTGTTTGGATCAATGTCTATTGTCTGTTACAGCTCCCTTCCCTAATCTTAAAAAAATTCTCTTCTTCATGAATCTGTTTTTCACATGACCACACTGTTTGTCTGTCTATAGCACATCTGATTAAATGTAAGTGTCTACCTTGTAGGTGTCTGCATCTGCACTAATCTGTGGTCTGTTATGATCAGCGGTGATCAGTCAAAACAGTAAATACAGTCTGGGGTGCATTTCACCTCATCTGGAAGGAGATGTCCAAAGTAGGTTGGATGAATTAGACTTACATGCACTATTTCTCCTGATTATAAGGAAGATGGATAGGATGACTAGCTGAGATTTGGGCCATCTATGCTGTAAGCATGAGAGGAATTCTGTTATGCACTACTAAGTTCCTCTTCTCTGCTCCCCACAGACTTTTGAACCCTTGACCAATCTCTCTTCTGTATCTTTAATGGCCTCTTTGAACCTGATAACCTAATTCCCAGGAGTTACACATATTGGTAATCAGATAGACACCCCTTCACAGAGGGCAAAGTTTTGTATGATTCCATCCCTGCCTATAGTAATCATACAAGAGAATTCATACTGTAATCTCAAAATGGCCATAAAAACTTCAGTTGGAACTCGTTCCTTGGGTGTCTGAGTCAATCAGGCCTGGAAGATAACCTCAGATCAGCAGATTTCCCTAATTTCTGTGCTCACAGATCTTCTTGTTTCTGGATGGGTAAAGGATTGCAACATTCTGAGTCTGCTTCATAGCCAGGTTCCTTGTAGTTTTTACCTTGCACAAGCCAGGGCAGCAAGGCCACTGTCTTGTTGTGCTGAAGTAGGACTTTCAGCTCTAGAACTAGGGCTTTCAACTTAAACAGCACAAAAGAAAAATAACTAAAAACTTGTGTCTTGGAACCTGGAGAGGCAAAACGTCACATGCTTTAATAATGGCAATGAAACATTCCTGTTGTGAGTGAGTTCAACACCAAGATCTGAACACCTCATTTTGGAAAGCTGTTCATCACTCTCAAAATAAATAATGGAAAGTAGGACCCCTGACAGAAACATGCCACAACATCTCTGATCACACTGCACACGAGATAGGTAGACAGAGAAATCACTGCATCATCTGTACCAGCGCCTGCTTTCACCATCATTGTGTACCTGAAAAGTGAAAGTGAAAGAATGTCACCTTGATGTATTATAGATATGAAGAAAGACATTATATGTTTATATAGGTATGTGTGCTACCTTTCACCAGCGAAGGTGTGACTGGCCCGGATCCTGCACAACAAAATATAGGGGGATACAAAATGCAGTCAGCAGGGCAAGAAAGACAAAATTATCCTATTTGGTATGCAGAGTATCTAGGCTGTTCCGGTTGAGTTTCTAGGCTCAGGCTCTCTGCCTTGCATGGATTATCAAATGGAGCTCGTGCTTTTAAATCCCTATCATGGACAAACCCATACACTCTAACTCATTTACATCATTTGTCTTACATGCTAGTTGATAAGGGAGGTGCCAGGTTACTCTTGGTAGACCCAGACAATTAAACCTGACGTCTTGGGATGTTTTCTCCTTTCCGTCTTTAATGCTGGTGTTTGCCTTGGAGTGAAACATTCTGACACATCCCCACTGCATATCATAGCTGCTCAAAATGTATTATGCATTGAGAAAGTCCTTTTGGCTTCTGCCCACCACAGTGCGAGGTGTAATGGCCTGGAGCCTCAGTGTTGTGTTTGCTTATTGTCAGCGGTGGGGCCAAGACTCACGTACTTTACTCTGCTTGAGAAATCAAGACTGGATGCTTCAACAGTGCCATTCCTTTGATCTAGCACATGCCCCTAGGCAGGCAGGCAGAGCTCTTGTAAATGAGGAGGTGATAAGGGCATTAAGCTGTAAGGCAAAGGCTATTAAATGAAATCTGCCTTTCACATTTGTAGTAATGTCATATGCAGGGGAAACTCAGTAAAGTAAATGAACCGAAGCGAAACAAGAGATGAATAACTTGTTGAGGGCCTGTTAATTGTCATAAATATTTGGTCGTCTTCTTAAGCATTAAAGCATGTGATAGTTCAGATAGCCCCTGCTCACTGCCTCCCAGCCTGAGGAGAGGAGCAGATTCTGCTGAACAGTCAAACTGAAGCACGTGTAGGAATGCATCTCTGATACATGTGTGAGGTGTGCACATGTGTGTATTTAACTTACTTGTGGTCTATTCTTCTCTGCAGTTCGTCAGTCATTGGGACAGTTTAGAATAAACTTTGTGGCATTTACAAAGTCCTTTCTCTGTGCTGGGATGATATAGAAATCATGCTTTTAACTTGAATTCTGTAAGTGTGTGCAAATATAGACAAATGAGAGAAAACTAAGCCCTGGCTTTGAGAAATAATTGCTGTCAGGATACTGGAGCATCTCTCATGTGAGGAGAGGCTGAGAGGGTTGGGAGTGTTTAGCCTGGAGAGGAGAAGGCTCAGGGAGATCTTATGAATGTTTATAAATACCTTGTAGGAGGGTGTGAAGAAGGTGGAGCCAGACACGTCTCAGTGGTGCCCACTGACAGCACAAGAAGCAGTGGCACAAGCTGAAACACATGAAATTCCATCTGAACATCAGGAAACACCTTTTTACTGTGAGGGTGGTAGAACACTGGAAGAGGTTGCCCAGGGAAGTTGTGTAGTCTTTATCCTTGGAGCTACTCAAAAGCCAACTGGTCACAGCTCTGAGCAGCCTGCTTCAGCTGCCCCTGCTTTGGGCCAGGGGTGAACTGGACAATCTCCAGAGGTCACTGCCAACCTCAGCTGTTCTGTGAAAACAGGCTGCTCTCCCCAGTCAGCCTAGCTGTTACTTTGACCACTGGGGCAATCGTGTTATTCCCCCATGAGGTCAAACCTAGCAAACTGGACACATGCAGAAAACATGTGCTCTCCTGCAGCTTCCAAGACTGTTTTGATATCCCAATGGATGGCCCAAAATTCAGGACAACATGGAAAACTCCTCTTCTTTATCTGAGTATGCATTTCAACTGTAACTTAAGTTGTTTGGAGGTTGAACTGGGGTTCAAGTTATGTAGCTCATAATAGTTTAAAAGCTCAAAATAGAACACAGGAAGAAAGTTAAGAAAATGCTTCAACCAACTTCTTAATTTTTTCATTTTTGAAAAAGTTACAGATGCTGTGTTCTGCATAGTGAGTCAAATATAATTGGTACTGTGGCAAATATCCTGTTCTTTAGCAGTTCTTTAGCAAAATCTGACAACTCTGAAAAAAGTACTGTTAAGTCTCAATAAAGAAACCACATAAATGATTAAGAATTATTGTAGTAATTTCATTGATGGACAGTTGGTAAGGGGAAGAACATTAGCTAGATGTAATTAACAATAATGATAAAACCAGTGGTAGTTTTTGTTATATAAAGAACAATCAGAGAACCATGAAGAATATTAATCAGTGCTATTCAATAGAAATGTGTTTATATATCTAAGTCTAATCAGAACTATCTTCCTAAATTGTCTTCTTCAATATTCAGGGAGTGTTTGTTTATTCTTTCAGAGTTAAAAAAAAAAGAAAAAGAAAAGAAAATGGCTTTTATTTCACACAGATGGAATTACAATTACCCCAATTTCAGTGGTTTGGGTTTCTCTTTTTGGTTTTAAAGAAATGTGCAGTGCCGATTTTATTGCAGAAATAATGGCTTATGTTGGATTTAAAGTAAGAGTTAAGATGACAGGCAGAAGAGTTTGCAATATCTCAGCTAAGGTCCCAGTTTGAACAGTTAGACTGTAAATGTGAAATATAGCTAATCAAATGCAGACATATGTAATGTCACTGGCAAATATCTGTCCTCTCATCCTCTCTCCTGGGTATATTAGAAATGTTTAGATTACAATGTAACAGATATGTTTTATAGCCTAATGAGATGAACACCATCCTAGAAAAGCTATTTTTTTTTCCTCCACTAACTACAAAAGAAACTTGGAGCACCAAGTTTCCCTGTAAATGCCTGTGTTATAGAAATCTACCTTTGGCCACAACCTTGTTTCTGCAAATTGTGTGAAAGTGTGAAGTACATGATGCTTCATTCAGTGCAACTTTGGTCTAATACTGGGCTTCAGAAAATAAATGTCAGCATTTTGCTCTTAGTATGGTCTTACTGTTAAGCAATATTTAAATTCCAAAGAGCAATGAGCAGCCTTTGCCCTGGAACCTCATTTGTGCTCTGCCAGCTCTGTTCCAAATTCTCTGTTGACTTTTTGTAACCTGCTAAGTTCTGCCACATGCCCCAATATGCTTCTTATTAATCCCTCAGCTAGATTCCTCTGCTAGTACAGCCAGCTTCCCAGCAACTCCTCTTCTAACAGGTCTTGGTTCTCTTGAGTTTCAGACAATATATATTACATGTCCCAAAATGCCCTTCAAAAACCTCTCTCAAATGTAGGTTTTGCAAGTTCTGGAGAGTTGCGTTTCCTGCTTTGGTATATCTTGTAATTAATTTTTCTTCACATCTTTCCATCTCCATAACAGAAAAATTAAAAAATCTGTTTCATTCATTTAAGGCTGCCCTGGAGATTCTTCTTGAATGATAACTTGGCTGGAGGAAGTACCTTATTCCAAGTCTTGCTCTCATCTCCAAACTTTGGAAAATTATCAATTTACAGTAATTTGCAGTCAGTGCACCAGGGAATAACAGACATGTTATATTTATAAAATATCAAAGCTCTCTCATTCAGTTGGAACTGAAAAGATGTAGAAACTGAATCAAGAAAAGGCAGACAATTGTGTGATACTGAATTGTGTGCCTAGATACCTGCTGGATATCTCAACATTTCCGTACAGTCAGTTCAGTAAGAGTATTCTGCAACGGGAAGACAGCTTTTTAGCTGTTTTAGCAAGGAACACATTTTAGAGAAAGGCTTTGGGGGCATGATGTGATTCAAAAGAATTCATCTGAACCGTAGCTTTCCTTATCTCAGTTTATTTGCCTTGAACTCATGAGGTCATGTCTTACAGACTGCAACATCTTTGAGGCAACAAGTATTATTTCTTGCATGCTTGTAAAAGTGCAAATCTGCACCGGTCTCCTTGGCTCAGGAATTACCCTTGTTTTCATGTCTCCAGTGGCACCAAGCTTATCTTTTGTCACAAGGCAAACACAGGGAAGGCATAATTTTTGCTATGCAGACTTGTTTTGTGGTATCCACAAACAGGAAGAAAAGTCTCAGACCCTTGAACTCCAAAATCTACTTCCTAAGGGATCTGGAGCTCCAGTGACCTAAACTGTAAAACGTTATGATAGCAAAATTGTCTCTGCTTGGCGGAACTAGGATCCAGACCATGTGGCTGTATCTGTAATATTAAATTAGCTGGGCCTGGAATTGTTCCTGGGGCTGGAGTCCAAATAGCATGGAGTAGTTCACATTTGTATTATTAAACCCTCTTGGCCTCGAAATCAGGGTAGCCGCAGTTTGTAGACTATTGGGAATGTCCTCTGGCTCATGCTAGCTCCAAATTTGTTCCCGAGGAATAGTTTCTGAGTTGGCTATTGTTTGATCTGGGCTAAAACTGCACCAAGGAAAATGTAACGGTGTAAATGATTAACTCCAGACCCAAGCCCAGTTTCTGATTCATTTACTGAAATAAATATAACTGATTTATTACTCTCAGTTAAGAGAAGGAAGAGAACGTCAGTATGGGTTGCTGTGAAATCACAGGCTTAGTCTGTTGTATAACCCAGCAGGAAGAAAAACACTTCTAATCAGTGGAAGTGAAAGTCAAGCCAGCACTCAGTCACACATAACACATCCAGGCTCTCTGCTAAGGCCCTTCAGTTTGCCTGTGGTTTCACTTAGTCTAAGTTGATTTCCCTTTGGTGATGTTGAATCAGGTATTTGCTAGCTTCAAATGATGTCTCTACTGTATACCGGATTTGGTGGTCACCAGCTTGGTTCAAAGCCAGTGGGACGAACTCCTTATTTATCCAGTACTTTCTTTAGACAGCATTTCCATGCAAGTTGAGACATATTTGCTGTAAGTAACAGCCCTTACTTGATGGAATATAAGTGTCTTTGGGCACTGCAATAGATAACAGATTTTTTTCTCGTTACACAGAATATTTTTCATCCCTTTTTCAGACCCAGCAGGACACATCTTTTGCATCCTCCTTATAGCAGATTCTCACATTTCTTGGAAATATTTACATGGGCAGTAGCCAAAAACATAGTGGGAACATGAATGGTCTAATGAGAGGGGAGAATGGGTCTCAGATTGGTGTCTAAACAAACAGGGGCTTTGTAGCAGAAAACTTAATCACTCACTGGTTGTGTATATTATTAAACAACTCGGAGAAGAAGGGAACATCTCTCTATGGTGTCCTTGATATTACAATCTAAAAAAGGTGCATTCCCCTTTATAAATGATTTTGTTATTTGTTTTGTTTCTTACAGATGCTGGTTTGGAAAAGAGCCAGGGAAATATATTGACTACATATATCAAGGGCCAGTGATTCTTGTTCTTCTGGTAAGCATGTATGTGGGTGGAAGGACACTGCCACCTTCCATTGGGGGATAATTTGATAGGCATCTGAGATATTCCACATCTACTTTTATGTAAAGTAAAACACAAACAAGGTCAAATGTCTTCAGCTGTTCTCTGAAGTTGCCACAGAAGCTAACACTGCAAGTCAGAATTGCAGTGATCTGGTTTTGGCTGTTTCCTTGACCATACGCCATTCTTTCCTCCTCTCTCTGTAATGCTGTTTGCCTTCCTTTGTACAATGATTTCAGATACAGGAAGGAAAAATATTCAAAAACAGGAGGTACGTTGCAATATCTGCTCATCCACTTGAGGCTCTTGAGAACTAGGGCAATTCTGTCATGCACATTGATTAGAAAAATGTAGTAATCATGGTGAGGAATTGCATTTCCTCATACAGTCATCTACATCTTCTACATCCCCATCATTACTGGGTATTTGTTTGTTAGCTTTCCTGTTGTTAAGTTCCTTTTTCAGTGCCGCCTACAGCTAACAGGCTGTTTATCTGTTTACCCAACACTCTGTCTCCTGTGCCAACGAACTGTAGGCGGAGGAAGAAGGAAGCTTATTCATAAACCATTTTGAACCTTCAACTGAAGTGCAGTGATGCTTTCCCAGAAATTACTGGGTGTGGATGGAAAAGATCAATGCTATTAGAAAGGACAATGCTGAAAAAACCCGATTCTACTCTTCCACTGCTTTGCGGTAAAAGCTACCTGGGAAGAAGGCAGATGTCCTAACAGAGAATTCACAGGGCTCAGTGGGGTTCCCTCTCTTAGGGAAGCAAGACTTGGTATAGCTGTCCCTCATGCCACTCCAACACCCATGGAGAAGATGCAAATGCTCCAGAATGGGCAGCCATTGCCAGCTTTTTCAAGCCTAAGAAGCCTTGCACTCTCACCTTGTCAGTGTTGTGCCTTTTGTGTGATTCAGCATGAAAAAAGCATCTCTGTTGCCTAGGAAGCCAGCTACTAGTCTGAATGTTTCCTAACCTGAAATCAGGAGAGGTAATTTCTGTGTTAATTGTTAAGATTACACAGCAGCAAACACATCATATTGTACGTAGCTGAAAAGAGAAAAAAACGTCGTAGGAGTCTGGTTTTATGTAAAAATTCTTTTCTTTATGTTGTAAGGAAAGAAATACAATTGGTGTGATATAAGGAAAGAAATACAATTGGTGTGATATACACAATATAATTGTGTGTCCCCAAGGGAGCTATCCAAAAACCACAAACAGCCTCCCAGTAAATTGACTCACTGATATAGAGACTAACTCACAAACAAATCCTATTTAGACAATACAAGGTAGCAGGTTTGCAATACTCGGAGCACTTAGTTTTCACATCATTGCCTAGAACTCTGTGAATCTACCATAAACCTTTTAGTCAACAAGATCTGTAAAATCCTTGGATAGCATCTCTGGCAGATACCATAGGTAGCTTAGAGTCATGAAAATAGCTTTGTTCTCCCCAGAACAGCACTTTCTGTTTAAAAACCCCAAAGAGGCACAGAAAACAGAGGTACAGTTGGAGGCTGCCTCTTTATGTACAGGTCATTGTACCTGCCTCTAATTTAGAGCAGCCTTGAGACCCCTCTAAAATGAGCCAAAAACTATACTACCCTGAACTGACATTATGTATTAAACCTTTCTACATTGGCCTGCACTTGAGCTCTAATTAAAGCACTGATGAGATTGCAACAGTAATTGCACTGTGGGGTGGAAAGCAGCTGATACAATTTAAATAAGTAACATAAGGGCAAGTCCTTCCTTTTCTCTCCTTATGGTTGCTCCCATCATAAAGCACTACTGGGTGAGGAAAAGAGCTCTCTGGAAATATAGTCTAAAAGGCAAATCTGAAAACTCCTGTTACGGTACAGTCTTGATTGCCAAAATGTGCCCCCCTGCCTTTTTTTTTAACTGACAGTTGAATCTTGTGTTTATAATTAAAATACACAACTCCATAGTGTGTTAAAGCAACTTGACAGGCCCATTTTTTGATCCTTATGCAAATAAAATCAAATTGTACATAATGATTCAAGCATCACTTACTATTATTGAAGTTACTGACCCTTTCATGGGTCCCGTAAGAAATGCTGGATTAACAGCACTGAAGTTTGACATCTGCCATGTACTCAGGGCAATACAGTCAAATATCACCGCCCCAGTATTTTGGTATTCCTTGGCCTTAACAGAGATGGGGACAAGGTGCTGCTTTCCTCTTCCCTCCACTTGACAACGATTGCCAGAAATGGAAGAGACAAAAATTTCAAAAATAGTACAACTCTGTGACCTCTTTTAGTCACAACTATGAGTTGGATTTGAACTAATGAAGAATTGAAATGTTCGACTGAAGTTCATGTTTTATGATAGAACATACAGGACAATTCTGTGAGAGAGCTAGCCCAGTGTACTGCTGGAAAGATAGAGAGACATGAATGTTACTAGAAGAAATTAATGTTATTTCCAAGAGAGGGCTCATACGAAAAATTAAAAGTCTAAAAACTCCATCAAATTACAGTTCTTGTCCACATGTAAGCGCTCAGTTGGTTTCACCTACTTCAGTTAGTTATGAGCGAAGGGCAGAGTGTTCAGCTCAGCTCAGTTTTGGTTACCTGTTAGACAAAGGTAGCATCATTATCTGTTCAAGAGACATCATTACACCAGCCAGTGGCAATATAATTGGAGTGCCCTTGTTGGTAAATATTCTTAGTTCCAGAGGGATAAAACCTGCTTCTAAAGATGCCGAGTCTCTTTAAAAGACAGGAGGATTTTATCTGTCAAAAATTATTTCCACTGATTTTGATTTTTCATTTTCTTGCCTCTATGCATTGAACTGCTGCAGTAGAAGATAGCATAGCACAAAGAAACAGGTCATGCAGGAGTTCTAAGCCTCACTGGGAAATAAAGATCGGCCAAAAATAAAGCCCTTTGATCATGGTAGCAGTCCTCAAGTTCATCTTTAAACCATATTATTCTCTCTTATATCTCAGGGTACAGAAACTTTGAACACTGCAGTAGAGACATTTGTTTGATTGCTTTCCTACTTGTCTTTAGAAGAAAGTTAAACATTGACTTGGGCTGAGAATAGGGAAACAATTTCAGAGACCATTTCAGAGACAATTTCAGAGACGAAAGTAACTGGATATAAATGCTGATCCTGAATATTGGGTGAGAAACCTGTTATTTTTATTGACAAAAAGTGTGAGGGAGAAAATGTAGGTAATCATCCTTCTTGGTTTAATTCCTGAATGGATTTTGGCTTGAACATATACCAGGAGAAATCTAACCTTTCAGTACATTGGATGCTTTAAAATTGAATTTCTGATAGCACTAGAAAAATACACTCTGTTGGGTATTTTTTCTTCAAAATGTGGGATTTTTTTTAAAATTTTGGTATCTTTCCTCAGAGTAGCATAACCAAGTTTTAATCATACATCCCTCTCTGAAGGCGAAGAAGGGGCAAAGGGCTGGAAATACATGCCAGGGAACTGAATTTCAACCTTATTTTATCAAGAAAACTATGTTTCTTATGTGGAATTTTAAAACTAATCCCTGTCAAAGAACTGGTGAACCATGAAAACACAGCAAGATCAGAGGATGAACCTCAGAAAATAGGCACTGGAGTCAGTTAACTGAGCTGCTTTTTTTCTGAGTAACTACTGTTGTAAACTGACTCCAGATATTAACTGCTCTGCAATATTTCTCAGACCTAAAGTTGCATTAAACTTTCAGTTTTTCAAACAGGCAGATGAAATATTTAGTTTTTTTCAAACCTTACATTCAGTTTTAATAGATCTGTTTTACTTGTGCTTGAGAACTGAACAGTTTTCTAACCTCTGCTTTTTGGGTTTCGTTGAAAATAATTCACCATGATCAATTAACTGCTGGCATAAGTGAGTGTATGAGCTGATTGATAGGAAGACCTGGAGTTCACTTCCATCTCTGCCTTCATCAGCTATTTACTTTTGAACAAATTAGATTGCTGCTCAGTTTCCCCAGATATAAAGCAATCTTAATGATATTTGTCTTCCTTTGTAAAATACTTTGAGATCCTTGGATGACAAGTGCTGTAGAAGAGTTAAGTGTCCTTAAGAAGATGGGCTCATCCTTATTGCAATGTGGAATTTTGCTCAGGAGACAACTGACACGGGTACTGAAGTGGTCTTTATGATGTGCTAATCATTAATGACGTAGCATTTTTGTGGTGACAAGGTCAAAGCTTCCTGCAGTACTCAAGGTCTGACTACACAAATGGATTTTTATAGCAGCATCCTGTTGTCTGTTTTATTTTCTTTTTCTTTCTCAGTACTTCCAGACATTTTTTGTTTCCTTTCTTGAGTACCACTGGGAACTGTGATGAAGTTTTCAGGGAGCTAGCTAATGTAATTCCAACATTTCTTTTGTGAATGAAAATACCCAGAGCTCGTAACTCTTCGTGTAAAGTTAAGATTGTGTTACCTTTATATCATGTGATTCCATGTGCCATGTTGTTGCCTGGTCACTTGGTATTGTGAGTCTCTGTACAGCTCTTTGCAATCAGCCTTTATTTTGCTATCCTTAGTAGCTTAGTGTCACTAAAACTCTGTCAACCTGTTCTTCATTCCCTTTTATAGATCACTAAGGTCTATGTAAAACAGTACAGATCTACCAGTAGCCTCTCTCCATTGAGAAAACAGAAAATATATATATATTCCTACCCTTTCTTTCTTGTATTTCTATGCATAATTCTCTTCCCTCCAAACCTCTAACACCCAAATTTCTATAGGACCCTTTGGAGAAACAAATTTGAATTTCTTTTAGAAACCTGAGTAGACTTATCTGCTGGATCTCCTTTGTCCCCATGCTGATTCTTTTAGAGGACTTCACAAACCATGTAATTCTTCCCCTTTACACCTTATTTCTACAAATGCTTTTCTTTATAGTGCTTGCAAAGAATTTGTCTAGTTCCAGCCTAGCTTCAGGTTATGGGATATAGCAATATCAT